CAGACGGGGGGATAGGAAGGAGGGCAAGTAGTGTGTTCCCGGCTTTCCCCCATCGCTTGGCCTGGGAGATGTTGGCCAGCGTCATCATGAGCGGCCACACCTTCTTCCGGCCGTTGATGCTCATGTGCGTCACATCCGAATATAAGATGATCCCCCCCACAACTTCGGACCAACCGAAGTGTTCCTGCAGTGCACGACAAAGCGGCAACGGACACACGGTTTAGGGCTCAAGATGCTCTTGACAGATCAGTGCAGCGATGGAGGCATGAGGAAGGATTGGGTTTGGGGTGGCAACGTGGTCTTTCCTTACCTGAGCATCGTTCCACCACGTTCCTGTTTCAGGCGTGGTATAGCGACGGCCGCCTGCGTCAGGGTCCTCATCAACACGCGCCTTGAGCTTGAAGCCGGGCGCGTTGTTGGGATGTCCAAACATTTCAGCGAATGCCTGGTGTACGGTGGCGAAGGCAGGTGAGAGGAGAGGCATGGTTAGTGGCGGTGAAGGTGGGTGTACGGTTAATACAAGGATAACTACGTACATGCAAACCCTGTGTGCCTCATCATCATTTTACGGCCTTGAATGCAAAGTCGGCTTACCTGGGCTGAGTTCTGAAAGAGCAAGCGCTGTGGTGGATGACCGTCAATCTCGAAGGTCGCCACCGACCATCCGCGATTGAGCCCTGCCAAACGCTCCATCTCGAACCGCTCCAGATCCTTACAGTTCCGGAGCTCCGAGATCACAAGAGGCGCAAGGCCGGGCTCTACGACTAGCTGAAGCAGGCCGTTGATGTCAACCTCGGCCATTCCCATTCCGCCATTCACGCGCCGAACGAAATGCAGCAGCTTCAACGCGAGCGGATTGAGGGGCGTGGCATTGCTTTGTCCGGAGATGATTGTTGGCGGCGCGGCATGACTCCTTTTGGGCCGGCTCCCAGGATGGTCACTCGTGTCAGCCGCAGGAGCTCCTGGTTGTGGTTGATGTTCATCTTCAGGAGGCCCCTCGTTCACGTCGTTGGGAGTTTCGTCAACGTGAGCTTCAGGCACGCGTGGAGGACCGCTCACACTGACGGCGTTGGATGCGTTAGACGCTGTAGGTGAACCGAGAGCGGCTGGAGCGTCCGACAGAATGTCGCGGACGAATAGCAGAGCGTGAAGACCGGCGGTCGGTGCAGATCGCGTTGGCCTTGCCACGGCAAATAGTCCTTGGCAAGGGGTCCGCCGTGACTTATGACCGCCATAAACTTGGGCGTTGGGGAACCATCTGTTGCAGAACTCGCAGACGACGCCTGGTAAAGAGCCCATGTGTTACGGATCCGTTGTAGAGTCGAGAAATCGCCTATGAAGCTACTAGCCGTGATGAAGCTTGTGAACGCATTAAGTACTCCGTTCAAGAAGCCTGTGACAGCTACACGATCATCGCCAATGCGCGCACTGTGGTGGGCGGCTTGTATCACTGCACGACTGGCACTTGACATTGGCGCTAATGTTTATGACTGGCTAACGATGTCGAGCCGTGTGGTCGTTACCAGGCACGATACAGACCGCCCACCTCACGGGCCGTCTTCCCTACAAGGCGTGTCGCCCCCGTTTAGAGTGACCACGACGTGAGCAGAGGAGAATGCGGAGGATCTTAAGTCTCACGGTCGTGTGTGTGCGTCGCGAGCACGGTGAGAAGGACGTGCCTATTGAGTCAAGAACTTGTGTTTAGGAACCGTGCGTGAGAGTCGAGGGGGATGAGGAAGAGCGGGAAGAGATCCGTTTGGATCTGTGATTGTGTCGCGAATCGATATAGGGGGGAAATCAGAATCACGTAGGTGAGCTCAAGAGGCTTCAAACAAACATGGAAATGCAAATGTACAATTACAACTTACCAAGACACTCAAGTCATTCATAACCAGTAAACATTCATATCCTTAGGACTGATGTTGAACAACCCTTACTTGATAACGATACGGGAAGTACCCAATAACTCCATGCCCTAACGTATGATTGTTGCGTGGAGCGAATACCTATAGCGTGTCTTCTCTCGAGGTGTAGTGTACCTCTACGCACCGTGCTGAATGAACATGCAAGAATGGATGACAATGTCGTACAATAACACAACGGTTTCAATGTCCATGCAATGTTGGATGACAATGCAACACCATACCACAACGGATTCACCATGTCGCGCAACCCGCAGGCCTGAACGCTGCATCGTCGTACAGTCTAACCATGGCTGTCGATAACGCATCTACGCTTGTGCGTTGGGCCTGTGCTTCATACCACTCCTTCTAAGCACCTTGTTTAATGTCTGTGCAAGAATGGATGCCAATGCAACACCATACCACAACGGATTCACCATGTCGCGCAACCCGCAGGCCTGAACGCTGCATCGTCGCACAGTCTAACCATGGCTGTCGATAACGCATCTACGCTTGTGCGTTGGGCCTGTGCTTCATACCACTCCTTCTAAGCACCTTGTTTAATGTCTGTGCAAGAATGGATGCCAATGCAACACCATACCACAACGGATTCACCATGTCGCGCAACCCGCAGGCCTGAACGCTGCATCGTCGCACAGTCTAACCATGGCTGTCGATAACGCATCTACGCTTGTGCGTTGGGCCTGTGCTTCATACCAATCCTTCTAAGCACCTTGTTTAATGTCTGTGCAAGAATGGATGCCAATGCAACACCATACCACAACGGATTCACCATGTCGCGCAACCCGCAGGCCTGAACGCTGCATCGTCGCACAGTCTAACCATGGCTGTCGATAACGCATCTATGCTTGTGCGTTGGGCCTGTGCTTCATACAACTCCTTCTAAGCACCTTGTTTAATGTCTGTGCAAGAATGGATGCCAATGCAACACCATACCACAACGGATTCACCATGTCGCGCAACCCGCAGGCCTGAACGCTGCATCGTCGCACAGTCTAACCATGGCTGTCGATAACGCATCTACGCTTGTGCGTTGGGCATGTGCTTCATACAACTCCTAAGCACCTTGTTTAATGTCTGTGCAAGAATGGATGCCAATGCAACACCATACCACAACGGATTCACCATGTCGCGCAACCCGCAGGCCTGAACACTGCATCGTCGCACAGTCTAACCATGGCTGTCGATAACGCATCTACGCTTGTGCGTTGGGCCTGTGCTTCATACCACTCCTTCTAAGCACCTTGTTTAATGTCTGTGCAAGAATGGATGCCAATGCAACACCATGCCACAACGGATTCACCATGTCGCGCAACCCGCAGGCCTGAAAGCTGCATCGTCGCACAGTCTAACCATGGCTGTCGATAACGCATCTACGCTTGTGCGTTGGGCCTGTGCTTCATACCAATCCTTCTAAGCACCTTGTTTAATGTCTGTGCAAGAATGGATGCCAATGCAACACCATACCACAACGGATTCACCATGTCGCGCAACCCGCAGGCCTGAACGCTGCATCGTCGCACAGTCTAACCATGGCTGTCGATAACGCATCTACGCTTGTGCGTTGGGCCTGTGCTTCATACAACTCCTTCTAAGCACCTTGTTTAATGTCTGTGCAAGAATGGATGCCAATGCAACACCATACCACAACGGATTCACCATGTCGCGCAACCCGCAGGCCTGAACGCTGCATCGTCGCACAGTCTAACCATGGCTGTCGATAACGCATCTACGCTTGTGCGTTGGGCCTGTGCTTCATACAACTCCTTCTAAGCACCTTGTTTAATGTCTGTGCAAGAATGGATGCCAATGCAACACCATACCACAACGGATTCACCATGTCGCGCAACCCGCAGGCCTGAACGCTGCATCGTCGCACAGTCTAACCATGGCTGTCGATAACGCATCTACGCTTGTGCGTTGGGCCTGTGCTTCATACCACTCCTTCTAAGCACCTTGTTTAATGTCTGTGCAAGAATGGATGACAATCCAACACCATACCAAAACGGATTCACGTTTGTTACTATTGATAATCGTGTTAGAATGTCGTCCGCTGGCCCTAAACCATTGTGGCAAAGCCTAAAAGTGCACAGTACATCTGTCACAAGTAATAATTCTGGACGGTCGTTGTGTGTGTGACGTAAGAATCACCGATTAACTTACCCCAACCCCGTGGTAAACCATTTGCAACTTAGAGTTTGATGAAATGCATTGTTGTATGTTTGAATAAAATTTAGTGATTTATGCGTTGGCAACCGTGATTGGCCGACGCATCTCAAACGATTCCCCCCGCAACACAGTCATCAGCCAAGAGGTACTTCAGCCATTGAGCGGCTGAGATCGAGCGGTAGGTGGGTTTATGCTAGGGTGGCTACACGTACACCGTCCAATATAGCCTGATAGGGTTACATTACTCTCTCTAGTCTCGCAACCCACCCCAACCACCCTCGTGTCCCACCCACCTGCTTCCGTCACTCCCTGGACCAACACTTTGACGCTGCTCGTTGCCTTGACACACGCCTCTCCAGATCGGCCTTAGCGCGAAGCATAGTGGCTACTATGACAGATTTAGTTGAAGCGGCGGTTTTCGGAAACACATAACAGTGATGGACCGTCGATAATCCCATCGTGGGATTCAGTTGCAGAACCCTTTCGAAACCGGCTCAACCCTTCCGCGCGATTTGCAACTTTGCTCCTCCTACAATTACCATGACACGTGCAACACGTAACCAAGCAATGGAGGAGGAACAGGCCGGCCGCCGCGCGACAAGGAGGACGTCTAAACAAATCGATAGGGAGTGTGGTGGCGGCGCTAAAAAAACTAATGCGTCCGTCGCTCGTGGCATTGGGCAGAAAAAAGCGGCGGCAAAAAAGGTCGCGCGCGGTCAACAGGAGGCCGGCAAGAAAGCGGAAGACAAGGGGCCTAAACCAACGCCACGCAGGCGTGTTTCTACAGTGAACAAAGATGCGGATGTTGCCTCTGCTGGAACCGAGCCCGGTCCGAGTAAAGACGGCACCACTGGCGGCAACGAAGATCCGGGGCGAGGGAGCGCGAGTCTTGCACTCCCGTCGGCGGAGATGGAGGGATCAGCGACGGAGGGAAATCACGGAGGCGATCCCCGCGCCGAGCATGCCGCAACCAAGGAGTCCGAGGCGGCGGCAATGCAACACCATCTGACGCTGCTCCAGCCGACCGTGGTCGAAGTTTCTGCAGCCGTGCTGGATAAGGACAAGGTGGGGGAGCACGAGTCGGTGGGGCTGGTCGGTGGCTCTCCACCTTCTGGTGGACGGGGGAGGCGTAGGCAGAGGAAGAGCGATGGGGAGGACGATTATGACACCGCCGTGCCCGGGGACCTCATTACGCGGGCGAAGAGGCGGCAGACGACAGGTTGTGCTGACGACGCCGGAGGCGCGGCAGTTGGGACACCGTGAGGCGCCAAGGAAGCTAGTGGCAAGGCGGGCGGTCAAGCATTGCGCCAGAAGGGCCGACCCGCAGCAAGAAAAGCATCCGGTGGAAGGAGAGGCAAGAAAGCAGCGACGGGAACAAAGTCGAAACGGGGCGATGAAGACCCCAGTGATGCGGAGGAGGAGGAGGATGAGGAGGAGGATGCGGAGGGAGAGGAGGATGAAGAGGAACCAGAGGAGGATGACGCGGATGTTGGGGAGGATGAAAAAGATGAGAATGATGGCGGGGAGGACGAAGAGGGGGAGGAGGAGGAGGAGGAGGAGGAGGAGGAGGAGGAGGAGGATGAGGAGGAGGAGGAGGAGGAGGAGGAGGCAGAGGAGGAGGAGGAGGAGGAGGAGGAGGAGGAGGAGGAGGAGGAGGAGGAGGGTGACGACGAGGAGGAGGATGTGGAGGAGGAGGAGGAGGAGGCAGCGGAGGAGGAGGAGGAGGAGGAGGAGGAGGAGGAGGAGGAGGAGGAGGAGGAGGAGGAGGAGGAGGAGGAGGAGGAGGATGTGGCGCCAGTGAAGGGACGGGGCGGGCGTGGCAGACGGGTGAGTGGTACAGGGAAGGAGGGGGGCCGGACTCGCCCTTCCCGAAAATGCGGGGCAGTTGACGCTGCGCGCGGCGAAGCATCGGGCAAACCGAAGGCGCGTAAGGTGAAGGTCGAAAGTGAAGGGGTTGGTAAAAAGCAAGGGATCCAGGGAGCAAAAGGGGATGGAGGAGGAAAGGGTGGCCGCGCCAAAGGGGTTCCAGTGGGTACCAGCAAGAAAGAACCTGCCGGTAAACTGGGCAGCGTCCGCCAAAGCACCCCGCGGAAAGGTGGCAACGAGAAGGCGCAGGCTGCCCCAAAACCGAAGGGACAGCAAAAAGGTGAGCATTGTGTCCAATAAAACTGGCGTGACGTGTTGAACCATCTGCTAAACCGTGCCAAAAAACACCCTTTTTTCACATTGTTTCTCCCATGCAGGGAAGGAGAAGGTCGACGAATCTGCCAAGCAAGGTAAACCCTCTTGTCTCAAACCAGTACAACCCTGAACCCGATCTAGATTCAAACCTTTCTGAATATGCATGCATGTCTGGCCCCGCCTTGAAACCGATCGACTCTAATTTTTTTTTCCGGCTCCCTCTACATCTCAGCCCCTCGCGTTACAGGCATTGGGCCGCCCGTAAGCGTGCAACGAATGCATCTAACGAAGGCTGCCGGAAGAGCGAGTGTTACACCGCTCTCCTCCGGAGCACCAAGGTACTACACGCCATGGGCCGGCCCGAGCAAAGTCGCTGCGATGGCACCAGGCGCGCCAAGAGGAGAGGAATCCGAATCCCCTCCACCCGCCCCCGTCACGCAGTCCCCACTCGCCTCACCCTTGTACCAATTTCGGCAACTCCACGCTTCTCCTGTCCGGGGCAGGGCGGTCTCCCCTCTCGCCGATCCTTCGCGCGGGCATCAGGCAGGCAGTTATGCCAATCCCTTCCCTGAGCTCCCCTTTTCCCGCCAGCGTGATAGTGTGAGGGCACACGGGACTGCTGCAGAAGACGTTGATCCCCTTGGCCAGAGGGGGGATTCTTCACACCCTTTTCCTCCGCTCATGGGTGCCCTAGGTGAAAGTGCGGAGCACGAGCAGTTTGTTACACGGGAGGAGTTCCAGGCGCTGCGGTCTGAGATGTACGCCATGTTTGCACAGCTCGGCCTGCGTCGTGGAGTACCTGCCAGCTATGCCGGCGGGTCGGCAGCCCTGCCTATGGCTGGTACCCCGCCGCCGATGAGCGCCGTGGACAAGGCACGAGTGCTAGTGTTGCAGGAGACAAACCCATTCCCGGTATGTGGCGGGCCACATGGGGAGGGTTGGGGTTGACGTGGCAACAAGGGCGGGGTTGGGGCTGACGTGGCGGTTTCGAAGGGAACACAGGAGCGGCGCGTGACGAGGCGACGCGTATCAGGTGGGTGGGGGGTGACGTGGCATGGGGTGGGTGGGTGTGACGTGGCAAGTGGCGCGGGTTGTTGGTGGACGTGGCGGATGCAGGAAGGTGTGACGTGGCACGTGGGGCTGGTTGGTGGACGTGGCGGACAAGGAGGGTGTGACGTGGCACGTGGGGCTGGTTGGTGGACGTGGCGGATGCAGGAGGGTGTGACGTGGCGGAAGGTGAGGGTGAGGGATGACGTGACAGATGCAGGTGGGTGTGACGTGGCGGAAGGTGAGGGTTGGGGATGACGTGGCACCCTAAAAGGGTACACGTGAGCGGCGCATGACGAAGCGAGGCGTCTCAGGTGGGTGGGGGGTGACGTGGCTCTTGGTGGGGGGTGTGACGTGGCAAGTAGGGCGGGTTGTTGGCGGATGCAAAAGGGTGTGACGTGGCAGAATGTGAGGGTTGGGGCTGACGTGGCGGTTTGGAATGGTACACGGGAGCGGCGCGTGACGAGGCGACGCGTGTCAGGTGGGTGGGGGGTGACGTGGCAAGTTCAAACAGTGTTGCTAGTCACCATCCCATGGTCACGCGGCCACCCTCATAACTGCTGGTTTCTCTCTTCCATGTCGTGTTGTATACCTTACACCCCTGCGCAGAACAAAGCCTACTTAGTGTGCTCTCAGCTCATGTTTCTGAACCCGCCGGAGAAAATACAGTACTACCCTGCACCGGAGGAAGTGTTCGAAGCGTTCTCTGTCCACTTGTCTGCAGAAGGGCTCGAGGCAATGAAGCTGCTGTGGTTGCACAATGACAAGTCAACCATGGGAGTCTTCAACCACCAGCTGTCCTCAACAAGGTCAACTATCAACTCCACCCTCAGGCCAGCAGCATACACCGGCATGGGCCTTGCCGATTACAGCCATCTCGTGGATAGCCTGCCCACTGAGCTACACCCAACGACCTGGTTCGACGAAGATCAACTCCTAGCCGAGTACAGAGATGGTATGTGCAGTGCAACTCGAAAACACAATATGCCCTACCATATGCCCCTTGGCAGCTACATATCACCGTGCGATGTGGCTCACCCTGACTCTCATCCCCCCATTTGATTTCTCTACAAAACCCTTTCCAACCCATACCCTCCCTGCCAAAAAGCAGAACAGTGGGCCCTCAACTGGCACTTTGACAAGGCTACCGGGACACCCTTCAGCAACCCCTTGTTCGCTTATGCGTTCAAGCTCTCCTTCAAGAGGGGCGGGGCGGTGTTCACCAAGTTCAAGAGCCGCATGGTGGCATGGGGCCTGTTTTCGGTAAGGATGTAGATATGTGTTTGTACCCCCATGCCTCATCCCCTTAACCCCTTGCCTGTACTTCAGCTAAAACCCTGGTCGATTAGGCCTTTGCAGTTACGTAGATAGTGACGACTGCATCACCGCTTTCAGTTGCCTCATTTACCCGTAACCTACCCTCCTCATAAACCATCCACCCAACCCTACACCACATTGCAGATCGAATGGCCCCTTCTGCAGGATAAGCGTCGCAAGCGAATCAGTAGCCAGCCGGAGCAGAACAGGCCAGACTACCAGGAGTGGTGCGAAAAGGTCAAACAGATGATCCATTTTGCTGTCGTGGAGCGGAGGATCCCCCACGATCCGGCTATGGGTGCGTTCGTCTTTCCGAACAAGTTCCTCATCGACGACGGCGACCTTGGAGATGTCGTCCTTGCCCACCGGGCGCTTTCAAGGCCCGCCAGTGCGTAGGCTATTTGACCTGGTGCTAAGACTGCTTGTTGCTAGAATGCTGAATAATGGTTCTTGTAAACCGCAATAATAAATGCAATTTTGAAATCCTCAATATCCAAAATGAACAAAAACAGAATTTAGTTTTGAATAATTTGGTCACGAATTTGCAACAAAACGGATTGCGCCCGAATGTCATCCGGAAAAGCTCGCGTGCCAAATTGGAACTTGAACCGAGCCAAACCTTGTCGCGAGATGTGTCTCGGAGCTCCTATCAAATGACTCCAACCGTCGGTCCAAATTGGCTCCGGATTTTTTTACGCGAAGACAATCGAAATCAAAATTCGTCCAAACTTGGCATAGGGTTTTTGTGATGACGGTGGCCCCCCTTCGTCTGGTGACATCTTTGACCCGGACCCCCTGTCTTCCCCTGCCTCCCCTACTCACTCCTCCCCTGGTGCCCCTCCTCCCCCTCCCTCCCAACCCTCACCTCCCTCCCCCACTCCCCGCACCATACTCACCCGGTATCCTCACACCAGGTCACGTGACAGTATCCTTGGTGCACCGCCCCCTGTTACCCTCTCTACCTCTACCCTCCCTCCTCTTTCCCCCCTCCTTCACCACTTCTTCCAGGCTGTCTTGCATCCAGCCCCCTCAACCACCTCTCCAGCAGCAGCATCAGCAGCTCCAGCAGCAGCCACCGCAGTGGCACCAGCAGCGGCGAGTGCAGCGGCAGCAGCGGCATCCGCACCAGCACCAGCAGCGGCACCAGCAGCGGCACCAGCAGCGGCACCAACAGCGGCACCAGCAGCGGCACCTGCGGTCATCCGCGCCTTCCACACCTCCCTCTCTGAGGACTCCCACGAGGAGTTCCTTGACCTCCACCTCTCTGACCCCTCCCTCCTTCCCATCACCTTTGACCTCTCTGGAACACCAGTCTTCACCCTTTCCTCTGCTCCCTCCACCTTCATCCCAACCACGTATGAGGAGGCCATGGCTTGCCCCGACGCCCCGCTCTGGCTCGCCGCCATCATCAAGGAGCTCGAGGCATTTATTGCCAACTCCTCCTTCGTTGATGTGCCTCGCCCTCCCTCCTCTACAAACGTGGTGAAGGGGAAGTGGGTGTTTCGCGTCAAACAGCTACCAGGAGAGCCGCCCGTCTACAAGGCCCGGTATTGCGCCAAGGGCTTCACGCAGCGGTATGGCTTTGACTTCTTAGACACCTTCTCCCCCACCACCAAACCTGCTACCGTTCGCGCCGTACTCGACCTCGCCGCTCGCCTCAACATGGAGATCCACTCGATGGATGTCTCCAATGCCTTCCTGCAAGGCGTGCTACGTGAACTGATCTACATGGAGCGCCCAGCGGGCTTCCTCCTCCCCTTACCCGCTGACTCCGTCTGGCAGCTGCGCCGACCAGTGTATGGGCTCCGCCATGCACCCAGGGAATGGCATGCCAAGCTTGCTGCCACCCTTGCCGAGCTTGGGTTTCGCACCTCCCACTCTGACTCCAGCCTCTTCCTCCGCACCTCCCCCTCCCCCTTCTACATCCTCGTCTATGTTGACGATATGATTCTCCTCACTGCCGATCTTGCCGAGCTCGAGAGTGTCAAGACGGAGCTGGGCAGCCGTCTCAAGTGCAAAGACCTGGGAGAGCTGCAGCACTACCTCGGCATGACCATCACTCGCGACCGCTCCGCCCGCACCATCTCTCTCTCTCAGGGTCACTACCTCCAGCAGGTCTTGGACCGGTTTGAAATGGCGCGCGACAACCCCCAGCCCACTCCCCTCTCGGTTGGGCACCACCTCTCCCCACCCTCCTGTCCCTCTCCCTCCTCCCATCCTTATCCTGAACTCATCGGTTCTCTCATGTACGCCATGGTTTCCACTCGCCCTGACCTTGCCTACCCCATCAGCGTCCTAGCTCGCTTCGTTGGCGCTGGCAAGCATACGGAAGAGCACTGGCAGGCCGCCAAGCGCGTCCTTCGCTACGTTCGTGGCACCAAGGACTATGTCCTTACCCTTGGCGGCCCTTCCCCACCCCTCCTTAGCGGCTACAGCGACTCTTCCTGGGCTGATTCGCGACCGGATCGGCGATCCTCTCAGGGTTATGGTTTCTCTCTGGGCAGCGGTCATATCAGCTGGCGGTCCACACGCTCCTCTGCCGTTGCCCTCTCCTCCTGCGAAGCAAAGCTCTACGCTGCCACCATGGCCGCGCAAGAAGCACGCTGGCTCACCTTCCTCCTTGATGAGCTTGGAGCCCCCCAACGCTGTCCCACCATCTGGTGTGACAACGCCAGCACCATCCACCTCACCAACGATGCTGTGTATCATGGGCGCTCCAAACACATTGAGCTTCGCTACTTCTTCATTCGCGATCTCGTTGAGGCCGGCCACATTCGCCTTGGCAAAATCGACTCGGCGGCCAACCTCGCTGACATCTTCACCAAAGCCCTTCCCCAAGCATCCCACTCCTTCCTTCTGCGTCTCCTTGGCCTCACCCCTCCTCCGGTTTTGACGGCCTCCTAATTACATCTTCTAGCCTTATGCATGTTGGGGGGTTGTGTTGTAAATGTACATTATATACAATATTCATAGGCTAGAATAGGTGTAGTCCCTTATGTTCTTCGGGGGTTGGGTGTACACTCCAACCACACTTTGTGGTTGGTCAAGATTGGATTTGGTCTTGGTCCTTGGTTGGCACTTGCCAACTTTTGGTCCTAACACCAACCAATCACATCCTATCTACATTGTAGGGTTTCCTACTCCACAAGGCACCTCACCCATTGGCTAACTTAGTGGCCAACAGGGTTAGCTCCTCCTCCACTCCTCTCTTCCTTGCATGCTTGTACTATAGAGCCTCCTTGGCTCATTACTCAATCATTCTTGAATTCTAACACTGAGTGCGGAGGGATCTGAGTGCGGAGGGATCTGAGTGCGGAGGGATCTGAGTGCGGAGGGATCTGAGTGCGGAGGGATCTGAGTGCGGAGGGATCTGAGTACGGAGGGATCTGAGTGCGGAGGGATCTGAGTGCGGAGGGATCTGAGTGCGGAGGGATCTGAGTGCGGAGGGATCTGAGTGCAGAGGGATCTGAGTGCAGAGGGATCTGAGTGCGGAGGAATCTGAGTGCAGAGGGATCTGAGTGCAGAGGGATCTGAGTGCAGAGGGATCTGAGTGCGGAGGAATCTGAGTGCAGAGGAATCTGAGTGCAGAGGGATCCGAGTGCAGAGGGATCCGAGTGCGGAGGGATCCGAGTGCGGAGGGATCTGAGTGCAGAGGGATCCGAGTGCGGAGGGATCTGAGTGCGGAGGGATCTGAGTGCGGAGGGATCTGAGTGCGGAGGAATCTGAGTGCGGAGGAATCTGAGTGCGGAGGGATCTGAGTGCGGAGGGATCTGAGTGCGGAGGGATCTGAGTGCGGAGGGATCTGAGTGCGGAGGGATCTGAGTGCGGAGGAATCTGAGTGCAGAGGGATCTGAGTGCAGAGGGATCTGAGTGCAGAGGGATCTGAGTGCAGAGGAATCTGAGTGCAGAGGGATCTGAGTGCGGAGGAATCTGAGTGCGGAGGGATCTGAGTGCAGAGGGATCTGAGTGCGGAGGGATCTGAGTGCGGAGGGATCTGAGTGCGGAGGGATCTGAGTGCGGAGGGATCTGAGTACGGAGGGATCTGAGTGCAGAGGGATCTGAGTGCAGAGGGATCTGAGTGCGGAGGGATCTGAGTGCGGAGGGATCTGAGTGCGGAGGGATCTGAGTGCGGAGGGATCTGAGTGCGGAGGGATCTGAGTGCAGAGGGATCTGAGTGCGGAGGAATCTGAGTGCGGAAGAATCTGAGTGCGGAGGGATCTGACTGCAGAGGGATCTGAGTGCGGAGGAATCGGAGTGCGGAGGGATCTGAGTGCGGAGGGATCTGAGTGCGGAGGGATCTGAGTGCGGAGGGATCTGAGTGCGGAGGGATCTGTGTGCGGAGGGATCTGAGTGCGGAGGGATCTGAGTGCAGAGGGATCTGAGTGCAGAGGGATCTGAGTGCAGAGGGATCTGAGTGCGGAGGGATCTGAGTGCGGAGGGATCTGAGTGCGGAGGGATCTGAGTGCGGAGGGATCTGAGTGCGGAGGGATCTGAGTACGGAGGGGTGCGCACGCTGACTTTCGTCTAGGCTAGTCAATACAGAGAGCCAGTTTGTCTGAACCGGTACTGTGCAAAGTTAAACACGTTTTCTTTCTGCGGGTCAATGAGGGAGTCGATCAGGGTCACTGCTGATTGTCTGGATGACTTCCCTTCACCACTTCCCTGCACTTCTCCCTCCCTCCTTCCCTCATTCACGTCTCCCCTCTGCCCTTCAATTAAAACTTCTCCCCGCCCACCCGCCACCTCCCCTGTTGCAGCTCGTGCACCTCTCCATGTGTGGTCGCAGTGTCCCAGAATCCTGTCTCACCTCCACCCTCCTACTCGTCCCAGCCAACCTTCCCACCCTGCGTTCCCTCTCCCTGCAAGGCGCCTACCTACCGCCTATTTGACGCCTCCCCTCCTCCCCGCTCGCGATCTCCGCACCTTCTCTCACCCACCTCTCCCTCGTCCACTGCCCACTCCTTTCCTCCCCAGCGGTATCCACCCTGCTCTCCTTCCTTGCTTCCTTGGTGGAAATCCCGCTTGGATGGGTGCACTCAACTGAGGGCACATCCTCTACGGCCGGGGCTGGGGGTTGACGGGGCTGACGTGCCTGATGGTAAGCAATTTTGGAAGTATGTTCTGTTGGGGGTTCAGGGGCATGATGGGTCTAACCTGCCTGTCGCTGTCAAGAGTGCTGTGAGTGATAGGTGCTGTGCTAGCTGACCTGCTTCCCTCTGTGAGCTTGCAGCTTAAAGGCCACACCCCGAATTACAAAACGAAGTCAACGAAAATTTTGTAGCTTCGGAAAACCCCAAAAGGAGGTTAGGTGGGAAAATTGGGAACCAATCGCGACAAAAACCCACTCAAAACCTTCGACCAATCACGTGAAAGTGGTGACAGTTTTGGGGCCGACACGGTAATTGTGGATGTGTCCTTTAAGGAGCGGCTAGTGCAGTGTTTTTGAAAGAAAAAAAAATTGCACTGGACCCCACTGAAGCACTGAGCCCTTACTAGAGATGTGACTACATAAGTCCAGCAAGCTAAACTCTTGGTTGCAGGGATGATAAGATTCTACCCCATCAGATAACAGATGCAGCGCCTCGCACAAAGTTGATTATCCTTGACAATCGTCGGCACATCCCACAAGAAGAATGTCCGGACAAACGAATTACTACGGTACCGTATCATTGTCCAACTTCATTATCGGTGCTCTTACTAAATGTAGTGAAATTAAAATAACTAAAACTAGCCATAGCCATCTTCATTACCCCTACCCTTTCCAAAGTGCCAGTAGCCATATCTATCCACATCTACTTCACGAAACTTCAACTGTGAAAGCAGGGCGCCCCATGCTCCTTCAATCCTTCCAAGACATGACGCACTGCCTTCCAACAATGGATGCACCAACCTCATCGTACTCACTCTTGGCAATCCACATCTACTTCACGAAAGGTAACAGCTTAAAAGAACCAAGAAAGGCACAAAGCAATAGAAAATGCGGTAATAGGCATACTGCCGGAAGATCGATAGAGACGCAAAGATGGATCCACCAATCCAGTTACTGTACTTCCGTTCAGGGTGAGCAAGCACCTTAGAACCCGCAGGCCAAGCTATTCAAGCTTAGGAAGGTTGGTTGGTAGTGAGGACAATATTCGACCGCAAGCCAATAGGAGTCTTTTTTTTTTTTTTTTTTTTTTTTTTTTTGAATGCACTACACTTATAAAAGTGGGTACATCCAGCAGTCGTAACTGTTAGGGGGAAGGGACCAAGCAGTCAGGGTGTCTGCACCAGGGCCTCAGATTCGTTTTGAGGTTGGCTGATTCATCAGCGTTGGTACACAAATGTAGGCTGATGAATCAGTCTTAGCAAAAAATAATCGCTGGAAAATCAGAGTTACCTAGAAAAAAACGCTGGAACATCAGTGTCATTGAAAATAAAAGGCTGTCTCATTTTTTTCCTACAGACAATTGCAACCACATGTTTTAGGGCGGTACGCCATCATCCCTTTGCTCCTATGCAGGGTGCTTAGCACAGGTGCGGCCAAGATTGTCTTCGTGCTGCTCACCCCCCCTTCCCCCTCTGCGTTGTGCACACACTCGATGGCGGCCAAGATCAGCGAGTGCACCAGCTTTGCTCCTAACTGCACGGTATGGGAGCAACGAAGGGATGGGAGAGTTCAAAGGGAAGAGGTAGGTGGGGAGGGGGAAAGCGAGGGTGCAGAGGAGAGGGAATGGAATAGATCATCAGTGCAACAGAGAGCTGCCAAGAGCTGAGCACGCACCAAAAAGGGTGGGAGGGGAAGGGGGGAAACGGGTATGTGGGACAGGAGCGTGGAAGAGATGGGCGAGTTGAAGCAGGAAATGTGTAGAAGTGCAAATAGGGCGGTGGAAGAGAGGAAACGATAGCACTGGGTCGAAGAAATGCGAGAACACGGCATGGAGAATCTACAGCGACGCCGCGGCGACGAGCTGGTATTCGGGACGTGCAGGCGCCGGTGAAGGGAATTTAGCGAGCACGGTGACAAGCAGGCATCGGGGACGAGCAGGCGCAGACGGCAGGAAAGAGCAGGGTCACGGCGCTGGTGACGGCGCGGCAACGAGCAAGCGCGGGCTTCGGAATAGGCATGCATGGGTAGCACGGGTGTCAACGAATGAGGAAACTGCGTTGGGAGTAAGGCGACACTAAATGTCTGTTATCAAACAAAGGCGTGGGGTGAAAGGGTAGTCTAAAGGGCCAAAGGGACAAGCAAAGGGACGCGTGGGAACGAGAAAGTGAGTGGAGGTGAGTCTCTTGTGAGTCTTGCTTGACTCCAGACTCAGGAGTCCTGAGGTTTTGGGAAATGGTTGGTTTGAGTAACACTTGTGGGAGGACGGTGGGACTGGCGAATTGGTGTACAGTACCTAGACATCCGAAATTCAGCACACCTACGCGAATCTCCATTACTTGGATTTCAGCCAACCCCCCCGTTACGACACTGGTCAGTCAGTGTACACTACAGAAAAAAGCTGAAATATCAGCCCTTACATAGAAACAAAATCTGGAAATTCAGCCCACACACCTAAAAAAAAGCTGACAAATCAGCCCCACTATCTCCCCAGCACTGAAAACACAGCCTTTTTAACCCTAATCAGCCTTTTTTCGCTGACTTCTGAGGCCCTGGTCTGCACCGCCCTTCCTTGACAAACTAAGGTGGATTGAAGGCAGTTCTTGGGTTATCCCACACCGATCTGAACCCCTCTCTCCATGTCAGTGTGTCTTCATCTTGAAAAATCCGGCTCAGAACCACAGCCTCGTCCCTCGCCAGATGAGGCCAGCTTTCCGCCGCCCCACTTGCCTCCCCTTTTGCCATTTGTTTCTTGCATGCACTGCAGATTCTAACGTGTTTCATAAAGTTCATACCAATCTTCCTGAGCGCTCTCCGCGCTTGGAATTTGTCTTGCCGAAAAGCTGCCTCACAACGTTCGAGCCAGATTTGGTGGAAAGCCACCGCAATCAACGGCTTCTCTGGGAAGCCCGACTTCGTGCCATCCGCAGCGAACAGAAAGTCCTCTAGTTTCCCCACCCCCCTTGTCGGATTCATCTGCTTCAGCGCCCCCTTAAGCGCGCCGATGACAGGCTGTATGCTGCCACACTCCAGTAAACAACCTAGGGTTTCATCCTCCTTGCAATGCGGGCAGCTGATGTGATCTCGCATGAAGTGCAGCCGCTCCCCAACTTGTAAGTTCTTGCTGTGTAGCCTCAGTATGACTTCTCGCGCCCTGCCCGGAGTGACCAGGGTGTCCCGCTTCTTTATGACTCCCTTCCAGTCGATCGGCTTCCCGTACTCCTGTTCCCATTTCTTTTGTTGCTTCGGCTGCTCCACTGGCCCTTTCAGCACCGCTCTAAGCTTCCTCAGGGGAGCGCCTTTCCCTTTTCCACATAGCACCAACATTCTGAGCTGTGTGAGAGGCAGGCCCGCTTCCCCTACTAGCACATCATCTTCTACCATCAGCGGGGTTAGTCTGTGCACTGCTAGCCGCACCTGGCTGGCCCTGTCTGATAGCAGCACCTCTCCTTTCTTCCCCACCGCATCTGGTTTGCCGAGTATCACGTTGTCATCGCTTGACAACAACTGCCAGTACAACTCTCTCCCCGCCAGAGAACGCGTGCTGGCAAAACGCGTCGTTCGCAGTATCACGTCGCCCGTCAATCTATCTAGCAGGGCCACTTTCCATTCCTCTGGTGTTGCCTTCCACGCCTTCAGCGCCCAACGTGCCGTCGCTGAGCTACCCGTCTCCTTGGTTAGAGTCCACACATCTTTGACTTTCCTTGTGCCGTCCCACTCCGCCTGGATTAAATCTCCCAGTTTTATCTTCCCCTGTAGAAGATATATATGCTGAAGCAGATTCTCTCGTTCGCATACTCCCAGCGGTTTGCCGGCGCATGTATCCTTATCTGTAAGGTTTGCCAGAAAGTTATCACTGTCCTTCTCCATTTCTCCCCTCCTTTTGTCCACAGCCGCAGCACCGACCGATGAGCGAGTGGCGTTGCCCAGCCGAGCGGCATCCCAGTTGCTCTTTCCATGAGCCACCTTTTCGTCGAGTCCCTTTGCTGGAGCCAATAGGAGTGTCGAAAATGTTGGCCTAGGTCTTAGAAATCGGGAATCAGCACAGGCGTTTTTGGACACCCAACCAACATTAGGAAGGATGAGCCAGATTTGGCCTTCTTGACCCACGGGTTTTAACCTTCATGGTGGGTGGGGCCATCTTAGTAACTTCCTTGGCCATGCAATCAACAATCCCAGGGAACAAAGTGGTACCACCACTGAAAACAATGTTGACATACAGATCCTTCCTGATCTCTTCATCACACTTCTTGATGCTGTTGTAGCACATCTCATGGATACCCAAGCCTTCCTTGTCAGCCAGCCCTGGGTTGAAGAGCACTTCTGGACACCTAAATCGCTCAGGACCAATAATAATAACCTCGCCATCAGGAAGCTCATACTTATTCTCCGATTTAGATGTTGCCAGTGAAGCCATCTCATTCTGAAAGTCAAGAGCAACAAATGCGAGCTTCTCCTTGATGTCCCTCACAATTTGCCGCTCGGCAGATGTGGTGAAGGTGTAACCCCTCTCACCCAACATCGAAAGTATATACTCAGTCAAATCACAGCCAGCAAGATCCAAACGGTAAATCGCGTGCGACAAAGCATTCCCCTCGACGATGGGGACAGCGTGCGTCACGCCATCACCGGAGTCCAGAACAATACCTGAAACCAAAGAGGAGATTAGCAGAAGAAACACGTTGCAGATTCGACTGCGCGGAGAAACAAGCCAAGTCTTACCAGTGACACGACAGCTTGTGAAAAGGGAGAGCACGGCCTGAATGGCGACATACATTGCTGGCACGTTAAAAGTCTCAAACATAATCTGAGCCATCTTCTCGCGATTTGCCTCGGGATTCAGAGGAGATTCAGTCATGAGAACCGGATTATCCTCTAGATCGACATGAAGCTCATTGAGAAAGGTGTGGTTCCAGATAATTTCCATGCGGTCCCAGTTCGTCACAATACCTAGTCACAGCGCGTGCGAAGGTAAGCGAGAAGATAGATAAATTGCGTGTACTCCATGTACCAGCCATTTTAATCTCATCGCGTTCAATAGGATACTTCAACGTCACGACTTCACGCTTGGACACGGCTTCATTACCAACGTAAGCACCGTCCTTCTCTTCTATTCCTCGACCAACTTCATTACGCGGCGCCTCCTCTCCAGCAAATCCAGCCTGGAATATAAGGCTCACAGTGCAGTAAAGCGAAATCGCGAGCAGACTATAGATCTCACAATGCCTATGCTACTCACCTTCACCGAACTGGATCCATTGTCGAACACTATAGTAGAAATGTCCATTTTCACTGGAAGGACCGAAAAAAGAAAAGGAGAAACAAACCGCCTTATGCAGTTTGGAGTGATTTACTTGATTGATTACGACCAGCAAAAGTAGCATCCAATATCGCCAAACATCATGCTCACCACGGTGGAGGAAGGTTAGGGATGACTTGCTCTGAGCACAGAAGGTCACGAAAGGCAAGGATACAAGGAGCTAGTACCTTTTTCATCGACCTCATCAGAGAAGAGCAAACCAAAAAAAAGAATCACTCCAGACCGAACCACACATGGACTCGCAGATGTGTCAATGGGTCAAGCCACCCATTTTAGCTCGATAACGCAATGTCCCAATACAATTCTGAAGTACATGTGCATGTACAAAATCTTTGTCGCGTTATGCGGCTGTAAATCATCTACTCTCACACCAGATTATTGTCCAGCAAATGCACCCAGCTGCTAACTTGGGCCGGCAAGCACACATACATTGTTGTAACCATATAGTTCGTGCTTCTGACGTGTCGAGCACTACAACGAAAGCGAAGCGAACTAAAGCGAAGCAATAGCGAGTCAACCAAAGCGGTTGACAGAAAGCAGGGCCTCAGATTCACTTTTAGGGTCGTCTATCGATCAGGGTACCCCTGTGTAGAAACCCTGATTGACATTGTTCCTAAAAAGTAAAGCCTGAAATATCAGGGTTGCCTTTGAAAAAAGGCTGATGCATCAGTGTTCAATAATATTGAAGGCTGTTATTATTAGAAATCTCTATTTTAAATACTACGTCAGTACCAGCCTTCCGAAACATTGCTATGCTAACATGCCGCATCAATCATCACCAGCCGTGTTATCATCACTACCCTTAGCCTTTGGTTCATCTCTCTCCTCCTCAACTTGGGACACCAGTACGTGACAATGCTCTGCCGCAGCACACACCCCGGCTTCACTTCTGCTTGCGACACATACACGTTGAAGCTGCAGGGGCAGGGTTTGGGGGAGGAACCGGATTGAAAGGCAGGGTGAGGCAGAGAAAGAGAGAGCAGGGGGGAGAGAGGAGGGAAGACTGGCACGGTTGGGGGGGAGACGACCGGGGGAGAGAGGGAGTGCACAAAGTGCGACGTAAAGGGAGCGGGGGAATGGACAGGTCATGCCGTCGCGTAGCTCGACGCTCTGCGCGCCGCCCGCGGCGCAGATGGCCTTTCAACTGCGGTTCGTGCTGGCGACGAGGCAGCCTTCGGTTGTCGAGGCGTCGTCGAGTCGTAGCGGGCCTGCGACGTCGATGGGAATTGCCACGTGGTTGACGACCATCTCGCAGCATGCGCTGCGGATCGCGTCGAACGGGAGCGATGTGTTTGGTGAGACAAGAGGAGGTTCGGCGGTGCTCGCGATGGGTTCGATTCCGGATAGCCCGCCATTTCTGGTGCTGATGGCGCCATCTATTAGTGCAGACGAGAAAGCAAAAGAGGAATCGGGCTAAGAGGGAGGGAGAGAGAAACAGGGGGAACAGATTCAAGAGAGATTGGGTTGGAGGGAACGGGAGCATCAGTTCTTGCCGGTGCAGGAACCTGTCAGAATGTTATTATCTAGCCTGTAGTGGGGTGCTCTATAGCGGGTACAACCCAGTTAGGGTTTGCTATATGTATCCCAACTGCTGCTAGTGAAAACCTCTCCTTTGCCTAATTCTCTCTTGCCTAGCTAGGTAAACCCTAGCTATGGCTCCTTGTTCTAGCTACGATTCTGACATGGTATCAGAGCTGTTACGCTC